TGCGAGGCTTGATGGCTGAATGATGAAGAGGAAGCTGAGGTGGTTTGGGAAACCGAACCTACGGGGCTTTATGCTGAATGATGAAGAGGAAGTCGAGGTGGTTTGGGAAACCAAATCTGCGAGGCTTTATGGCTGAATGATGAAGAGGAAGCCGAGGTGGTTGAGAATCGAACCTGAGAGGCTTGATGGCTAAAATCTGAGGCACATTGACAATAATTGTTCCTCGACAGTTGTGCCAATAATTTGATGTTTTGCTCATATTTTCGAGGAAAGATGGCTGAACCGTTACAACTTCCAAGGCGCCTGCTACCGTCGAATTAAAGTCGTAATCATGAGAACAGCTGGAGCTTCTAGAAGCAGACGCGTTGGGGGAGGTACGTGGGAGACACGCTTAAATCTAAGGCATAGGTTTGAAAAATCGTTTGAATTCTACACCTCGAATTTGATTTAGAATGAAGGGTCCAGATTGGATGGGCTTTGATCAGACGGTTGGGGTTCGTCCTAGCCCTTTATAAAAGGCGAGAGACCCCCATTTTTCTGGATTTTCTACCTTTGCAATCTGATTTTTCTTCCAAAGCTTAAGTTTTTCAGCGTTGAAGCTATTTGTTCCCTGGTTTTCCGGCACCATTACGTTGGCGTAGTTATTCCCGTAGGTATTTTCACAGAAAATCCCTTGTATTGCGTTCTTAGTCCTTTTCTGAAATGGAGTCCACCTCGGGAAGGGAGTTGGTCACTATCGCATCATTCGGTCAAGGGGCTAGTTACAGGGGGACTCCGGGGTTGAGCAATATACTATAACCGAGGAGGCAGTAGACTACAGTGAAGAGTAGAGGGCGTCTAGAGTCCTTTCAAATATGACATGGAAGAGGCTGAGAGAGATTAGGGATAGGTACTGTGTACCTCATTATGTAGAGATGTTAGTACCCGAAGCCCATGAGCGAGCCTGCTATCCGAGGCCTGGATGCGTGGCGGTGAGCGAGTACCTGTTTAAGGCAGGTATACGTCTTCCTCTGCACCCCTTCTTCAAGGCGGTGCTGAGGAACTTTATGTTGTTGCCAACCCAGGTTCTGCCAAATGGTTGGAGCCAATTGGTTGGCTCGTACTTCCTATAGAAGGAAGTGTCACTTTGGGAGGACATGTCTCTCCACGTCTTCATGACCTTATTTCAGCCTAGGGTAATAGGTAAGGAGTCAATGGGGTGGTATTACTTAACTCCTTGGGGGGCTCATGCACCATTTGTGGTGGGGCTGCATTCTTCCATTAAGGGGTAGAAGAAGTCGTGGTTTTGGGTGAGGGGCAGGTGGCAGGCGGTGGAGGGGGACACAACCCTAGCTTGCACAGTACCGACCCAGTACTACGAAGCTCGTGAGTCTCCCAGCCTAAGTAGCTTGCATTCTGTATTCAAAATTCTTTTTCTAACTGTTGAGGCTTCCTTTGCAAATAGCAGTACGCGGTTCGAGTTGAGCAAGAAGAAGTTTGAAGTGATAGAGGACATTTAAAAGAGACCTCTGAAGTTTCACCACTTCGACACCTCATCGACTGAAGTCACTACTTCCTTGATTTTGAACTGATGGCCTCCAAGGGTAAGAAGCTCCTATACTTTTGTATTTCTTGCTTTTTGTTTTGATGCTGATGCATTGACATGTTCTGCAAACAAGTTCAAGAGGAGGGAATACTCAGCCCGTGACATGACCTCTATGCTTAGGGCCACATCCACTGTAAAGGCGAGGCCCCTGAAACGGGGGTCGATTGGTGCCAAAGAGGTTTTCGAGCAGGGTTGAGCGCCTCTCTAAGGACAGCAGTTCAAGGGCTCCCGAAGAGAGGACACCTCAGAGGCTAGTGAAGGCCAAAGAGCCTTGGGAGAAAGAGAAGGTCCCGGAGGAGCAGGTGGCACCAAATTTCGCACCATTTGGTGCAAAATGATGCAAAGTCAAATTTACTCTTTTCTTCCATTTAAAAATTTTAATAATGTAAACAATAATAATTAATGAATTAATTAAAATAAGAATAAAAAATTTTAAAATATAACAAACACAATTATTTAAAGTTAACACGAAATATATTATAACAACCACATATATACATTATTCTAGATTATTTAAAGAAAACGATACATAAAATAAGTGAATAATTTAGTAATTTGGAAGACGAAAGCACCGAGTCCAGAGGTTGAGTTGTTGAAAACTATAATCATTCTTACTTATCATAGACAAATCAAGGATAAAGAGATCCACATTGCACTTTCAAATACATTAATCGATCATTTGTGGGAAAAATGTACGAAATTTAGGAATTAAATTGCAACGCTATTTAGACTTCATATCATATCATAATATCCAAATTCAAAATGCATTTCACTATTTTTTAATGGCATGATTTAATATTTTCTTTTTTTTATAGTGTTTACATTAATTGTACTATAATTTTGTACTTATTAGTTAATTTATTATTTTAGTTAATTTAACTTAATTATTTATTTAGTAATTTATGTATTTGTAAAATAAATAAATAAATATTTTTTCAAATAAATAAATTATTAAGAATAGAAAAAG